CTAATGAGGAACTAGAACTCCCAGTCTCCTGATGATTGACCCAAAGTCTCCCAGTTGGTTTTCATATGTAATGACGAACTAGAACTCCCCATTTCCTGGCAATTGGCCCAAACTCACCCAGATGCTTTCATGCCTAAGGCAGGACTAGAACTCCCCGACTCCTGATATTTGACCCAAAGTCTCCCACTTGGCTTTCATGCCTAATGAGGAACTAGATCTCCCAGTCACCCAGTATCTTTCCCACTTAAGGTGGAACTAGAAGTCCACTCTCCTATTTTCTAACCCAATGACTGAGTAGGGTAAACCAGCTGGAGAAAACGTTTATTTAGTTTTGATTTTGAATCATTAGAATTAAGAAACTTCCCACAGAGCACATTTTCTTATGTTTGAATGGACATATTCATAGGCAGCAAAGAGGCAACAACAGGAATAAATTCATCCATATAGTAAATATTGCTAGTTTTGATTTTGGACGGTTTGCTACTTTTCTCTTGGCTTTCAGTTCTTCCCATCTAGCATCAAAATCTCTTCAGTGACTCCAGCTCTCTGATTCTTTGCCATCCAGTCCTGCTCCCTTTTCCCTCCAAGCCAGCTCTCACCTGATTGGTGGCACCAGTCCAGGCTCTGTGTTGTTATTGGCCTTTATCCTCCAGCCGTTTCATTGGCCTACAGGTTCACCCAGAGGCCAATGGCCACGTTAGTTTTCCTGAGGCCACTTCCCATTGGTGGATTTGGAAGCCTCAGGGTTTATATATAAAGGAGACCATTTTCCCCCTCCGTGCCATTTGTAGGTTTTCCTGTGACTTGTGTGTGTGTGTGTGTGGTGTTGGCCTCTGCTTCTGTTTCCCTTTGTAAAGCCTGAATTCACGGAGGACAAAAATCAAGTTCAATTCAAGGACAGTTTCCTGCACAACAGTAATTCCTGTCGAAGGAATTTAAAATAACTTTCTGATTTAAAATATATTATTTTTTAATTAAAAAGACATATATCCCTCCTCAATCCATCCATATTGTTTATCTTATTATTTACCATTGGGAAATGGTATATAAGTAAGTGCTATTGCTTATCTACCTACACCTATCATCTCTATCCCCATCTCTCTCTATTCATCCGTCCATCTATCATGTCTCTATGTTTTATCTATCTATTAATCTAATCTACTGGTATCTCCACCCATCCATCCTTATCCTCTATATCTGTCTGTCTATCTATCTATCTATCTATCTATCTATCTATCTATCTATCTATCTATCTATCTATCCAATCCAATCCAATCCAATCCAATCCAATTTAATCTACTGGAATCTCCATATTCTCTATCTATTAATCTAATTTATCTGGTATCTCCATCCATCCATCCATGTCCTCTATATCTACCTACCTACCTACCTACCTTTATCTACCTACCTATCTTTATCTATCTATCTATCTATCTATCTATCTATCTATCTATCTATCTAT